ATTTGGCCACGAAACTTTCTCTCAAACATGTTTTATTAAATATGAGATAAAACGATAATTTCATGAATAATCTATTGAGTTTTTATGTATTCTATCATTCATCCCGTTTGGCAGCGGGGGAGGGAATCTAAAATTATCAGTGGTGTCTATTTTCGCAAGCGTTTTCGGCAATTTCTTTCATTTTCAACGAGTTTGTTGTTGAACATAGTTAGTTTCTTCTCATCGTTCTCCTTTAAAGATGTAGTTATGTTATGCTTATATATTAGTAACGTTTATTTCGAAAAGGCACATGGCTGAAATTTGTGTCATTCCATTTAAAGAAAAAACGTTGTTTCTGTTGTTAAATAAATTGCCCCATGTTTTATGCACTTCTCCCACACCGAGATATTTTCGGTTATAGAATTTATGAGGGATGATCGTTTTATACAATAGTAATTAAGTTTACATTAGGTTAATGATCATTTTCACCTTGAAATTTGAAAGACAATTCGCAAGGATTTTTCAAACCAATCAATGCATAATAAATTATTGAAATAAAAATGGCCAGACAGAGGGAGGAAAGAAAAACGGAAAGAGAGAAGAACGGACCAAATAAAGCAAGGAAGGGGTATAAGTCTGGATATGAGGGGTGGTCAGAGTAGAAAGGAAGAGAAAAAGGGGGAGGAAAAAAGTCAAGAAATGACGTATTTATTTTATGCACCATAGCAATCAGAAGGTAGTTTAGACTTAAAGAAAACCTTCTTAAATCTATAAACAAAAATACTATTAAATAAAATAAAGTGATAAACCCATTTACATTACAGAGAAATAATTCAGAATTAAAGATATATTAAAATAGACAATATATTAGACAAAGTAATAAGAATATAAAATTAATATATTGAAAAGATTATATTATCTTAGGATAATCTTCTCCCAATCTCTGATATTATTACCTCTCACTAAACCTTCTCAGTGAGCGTGGGCGGATTATCCACCCGCCTCCTGTCTTGAATCATGTGCCAGAATAAACTTAGTTTAGTAAATAAGTTGGATTACTGTCAGGAGTTTTCAAATTAATGACCTTACTATTTTAGTGAGTAAGATACTCACTTATTTCCTTACACAATACTCAGCTTATCCATCTTTATTTTTAGTTACTGTTAGAGGAAGTTAATTTCTCTCCCGCTAGTTAGGAGCGACTACTTGATGACAAGCTGACACAACACAACATGTTGTCAAGCTAACGCAATCTGGTAACGCGCGTGGAAATCACGGTTTTAAATCCAAACTAACCCTTGCTGTCTTCAGGCTGTAAATTGTAATCGTGTAACACCCTAGCCGGCCGTCCAACACCGCGGCTGCGAGATAAAGATCACTTCGATCTCAGACCTGCTTTATCACATATTGTGATTTAAGTTTGGGGCCATGACCGAATCTTTGCAGGTATCTTCGTGTTGGGATAGTCCAAGCACGGCAATGATGCCCAGGAAAAAAATAACACTCGAATAAATTGAACAAATGTAAATACTGTTTTTATATCAGTCCTCCGTACAGTAATTGGTTATATTAGTGTTCGTATGTAATTAATTATCAGCCCGCATCTAAATCGGAAGTGATACTATCGACGACCTGGCAAAAAACTGGTTTGCGCTGTTGTTGGTAAATACTGAAGTCGGCGGATTCTCTTCGTCCTGCAGTCACGTGGGGTGCATCACGACCGCTTGCAGGTACAAACTCTCTGCCGTCTCGTCTCTGTCTTTCTACTGCTATAACTCGTCTGGCGAATTCGCTTCGCGCCGTTGTATTTATTGGGATAATTTAGGGGAATTCTCTTCTCCCAATCTCTCATATCATTCTCTCATTTAATCTCCTCAGTTTGCGTGGGTGGCTTATACACTCACCTCCTGTCTCGAATCAACTTTCGACCAGGATAAGCAACTCAAATTTCGTTGTTTACGAAAATGAAGTTTTCGCTTTACATCTTGTATTTGCAGCTGTGTGTCAATCAAAACTGCCCCTTAAGTCTGGATCACTTTTTTCATTGTTCAGACTGCTCCACATACAATTCAAGTCGTTTACGTGTGAATTAAATCCTCAATTCCTCCATGAGTTTTTCGTATTAACCCTTCTCGTTTCAATGTCTCTTAGCACATAACACTTTTTATTGTTTTAACAAAACTTTCTTCCGTTTTACCGCGGCAACGTCAAATAGTATCACATGTTAAATCCGACATTTAAATTTATAACAAAGAGTTACGATACCAAAGAAAAAAAATACAATTGTGAATATTTTTTTTTAATTCAAAGTAACTGCTTATCGCGAATTATCGAGTTAATAATGAGAGAATACAGTAAGAAAAAAATTAAACAGACACTTATTTTAAAAAAAGAAATAATTTAGATGAATGCTTGCTGCCTTAATATAATTTACAAACACACAAATATATATATTTCACCCTCATTGATTCCATGTTAGATCAAATTCAATGCCAACATTCTCAACGAATTTAACTTGAAGGTCCTTACGAATGCCCCTCTTGTGATTTACATCCACAATATTATTCTGCGCAAATAACTCCCTTGCCATTATGAATTGCTTTCCTCCAGGATCAATGCTCTAGTACAGTGTTTCTCAACGTTTTTTAAGCAACGGTACACCTAAGAGAAGATGAAAACAACGCAGCACATTTATCAAAAAAAATTGATTGGTTATATATTTAAATGTTATTAAATAAAACCATATATATATATATATATATATATATATATATATATATATATATATGTGTGTGTGTGTGTGTGTGTGTGTGTGGTTTTATTTAATAACATATTGGCTCCTGAAAAATTAATTTCAGTTGAGCTCTCTGGGAGAGATGTGGGTTGGTAAATAGTGACTATTATAGCTATATATAAAGACTCTTCGTTGCGAATTGAGTCACAAATAAATCACTGGGCGTGTTTATAAAGATAAACACGCTAAAATCAAATTTCCTACCTACCGGCGCCGATGGCTTAATGGTTAGAATCTCCGACTGACACCAGTTCAGTCGGGTTTCAACCCTAGCTGGAGGCAAACGGATATATATAGAATGAGCTGCGAAACAGTCTGTCTGTGGATGACGGTATATATATATATATATTTGAAAATACACACTCAAATATGAACTTTATTTTAATGTTTATATACACCGATTTTTGAAGCTTACTTTGTGTGAGAGCTGTTCCTGTTGTTTTCGTGATTTCTTCAAGTTTTGGTTGAATGTATAGAAGCAGACCTTCATTTCTTCTTCACTATATGTAGTCTTTCTCCTTTCTTTTTTTTTTTTTTTTTTTTGGGTTGAGGAGCCTAATTCACATAAACATCAAGTAGAAAATCGCAATAAAACTGATTTTTAAAAAAGCGTTTTTAGTTAAAAAATATAAAAATTTTATACTTCTTTACTTATTCAAATACTAACGATCTACCATTACTACTTTCATACCCACCCACATACCGGGTGTAACAGTTAAATTGTCCAAGTCGTAACAGGACGTAATTGTTCATCCTGAAAAATGTTTAAGTTTAAAAAACACTAAACTAATTGATTTTTTACGTTTTCTGATAAGACGTTGAGTCATCTTGATACCATATATTCTATGAATCAGTGAAAAAAATTTGAGTTATTCAACTAGAAAGCGAACAGGATAAAACACAATCTTCCCAACCGAGCAATGGTGAGTTTAAAAGATCATTCAAACCTTCAGTAATGGTACCAACATTCATAATCTGGCTTCCATCTTTAAAGTCCATTCAAGAATTTGAAATAAATGGGAACAATAAAGAAAAACAATTGATCAGGAGGTCAAAACGGCATGTTTGAACTTAGAGCTAAATACATTCTTATTGTTCAAAAAGAGTTTTATAGTTTTATAAAAACCTCGGAGAATTCCAGTAAGATATCTTTAATCATTTCTAAGATAGAACGGTTCAATGCTAAAATAACAATTGGATAATTTTGCTATTACACCCGGTATATTTGCGTCTGTCTATATTTCTGTGATGAGTTATCGTAACCATTTACACTATTTACATTGTTCAAACTGTTGTCTTCATCTTTATCAATTTCAAAACGTTTCGACCGTTTTAAATTCCGGCCTCCCTTCAGGTGATATTGTTGAATTTCGATTCGAAACCTTTATCGCGTCCACCAGGATATATTATTCTAATTCCATGTGCCATGCCTCCTCTGGATACCTCAGTTTCAGTTATTTCCCTTTTCACTAACTCAACTCTCTATTTTTTTGTTCACCTTTGCCGTGGCCAGGCTATGAACTGAGAATTCCTCCGGTCACTGGATTAGTTCAATCAATGCTTTTATGCACTGGGTGTTTTACTCTTTAGGAGTTCAGTGGGTGTATTTTGGGACGTATAAACGAAAGCAGAGATGAACGAAAAGACTTGTAGAAAGTGGAGTTACTAAAGGAAAAAGGCATGGCACATGGAACTACAAAAGATACCCTGAGAGACTAAATAAGGGGTTCGGTTCGAAATTTAATGTATATCGCCTGAAGAAGGTCGGAGCGTACAACGGCCGAAACGTCGTGGATAAGACAATAAAGATGAGGACAACAGTTCGAAAAATGTAAATAGTATAAATAAATTATATATATATATATATACCGACCTGTATATGGACCCGGCTACAACGTATGATTGCGGCAGAAGATTCAACGGTTTACGCGGTTTACGTATCCATAAGGCACGCTGGTGCAACAACGTAATTCTCCTATTGGAGAATGTAAATCGAGTGATGGGATTATGAATCTGGAATACACCCACAGCGTTCAGGATTCCATCGTTGAGCGACAGCACCCTGGAGAAATCCTAAGTAAACCAAGAATACAGTGGCCCAAAGGTAACCAGAAGACTGTTTGGACTAATCTTGACAAAGAGCTTTCTTTTATCCTTAATAACAATCTTAAGGGTCACATAGGGCAAAAGATCAGTTCCTTTTGTAGAATAATATACGACGTTTGCT